CAAGAGTGTTGCGGTGTGCGTCGTTATACAGCAGTTCATCCGCGCAGCAAAAGATGGTGTTGAGCTGTAACCCCGGTCTCAACTATGACAGGTGCCAGATCGGTTTGGTCACTGGGGATGGCTGTCTCGACAGTGATGCTGAGGCCATAGTGGCATGAAATCGCATGGCATGGCAAACCATGTTATGGCTTCTGTCGTAACAGTGGGTTGGTTGGAAGACAGCTTGATCAAGACCGAACTCAGGATAACCTCACCTTGCAGCCCCGTATTGGGCCAGCTCATTGAGCATGACGCGCTTTGCATTGTATTGACTCAACCTGTATTTCTTTTTCTGCTTCATCCTTTCTCAGTGTCATTTTCATGTTCTCACACCAGGTCCTCCTCACCCTGGGTATCTCTTGGAAAAGATGGAGACATTGGAAGCACAGAACCAACACCCAGCGACTAATACCAACCGCATACATAGGTAGCCAGCAATGCGATGCTTCTCCAACGTTTATCCCCGGCCCGTTGATGTCCTCTGCCTTACTACCAAACGCATCGACTCCACTCACCTTACTTATTCATCTTCGTCGATACAGTAGACACGCCTTCAGATACCCCTGCCATCGCGATATTGCTGCCGACACCCCTCCCCATGCTCCTCGATGCCTGCTCCTAGACCATCCTGTTCGTTCAAGGTCGTGCTTCTTGATGGATTTGCTCGTCACGTAGGTACATTATAGGTCAGGCTTCCTGCTAAGACGCACCATGTTCACCGTTTCGTGGAGATGCAATCAGACCCTGATTTCCTCACTGCATCTTCCTCTCCCCACACCGTTACGTTGTTACTGCGTCGCCTCTTTTCGACCCGACATGCTCTTTTTGGACCTTGAGTCTAATAATATTCTCCGGGCTCAACTTTCTTTTCTTTTTCGATTCTTCCAGAGTCCACTTCTTGGCCTTATTCAGCTTGGGCTCTCATCCACCTCTAGTTCTACTGCCTGCACCTCGGTCAGGACTAACAACACAAGAATAGGAACAGGAAGAAGCAAGGCGGTCCGTAACGTGGGTCCATATCCTGCGCATAAGTAACATCTCCTGGAGGTTATACTAAGTTAGTAGGGGCCCAGCGGAAGATCTGACCGAGTTTTCTCTTACTCAAAAGTGAAAGACCCTCGAAGATCTTCCTTTTGCCTCCTACCTATTGCCATCTCATCTATTCTCTGCTCTCCCCACGGCTTTCGATAACAGCTTGTGAGATAACAAGCCTTACCTTGGCCTCATTTACCTCGATTGGCGCCCCACGACTTGCTCTGCCTCACCATATCATCCTATTTGAATCCATTGGCTGGAGAGAACCCTGGACATCACCAATCACATTGCCATCTGCCCATCAACGCCTTGGAGCCACGCTTTATGATCTGAACAACCATCACTGTTGCCTCCCGAGACAGTTCTTTCTCCTTTTGCATCTTTGTGGCAACCCGGTACCTGACAGAGCCCAACTGTGTCGATACCTAACCCAGCTGCCCACCACTACGCACCAGTCAATACGAGAAGGCCTCCATTACTACACTACAAGACTTATAGACACTAAGGGCGACATCAATACAAGTGACTTCATTCCCGGAGGTTTCAAGGAGCAAACTAATTACCTCACCTCGATCTCACGAACATAGTCCACGCACCTCTAGCCGACTCAACCATCTATCTGTACAGTGGAAAGAAACATAGGGGTTTCGTGACACCCGGTATACAACGCCCTTAAGCAGCATCAGGCTTCTCGGAGCCGCTGCAACAGACATTTCTTCACCAACACAACCAGAAAAAGTCGCCGAGCTGGCCCAACTCAAGAGCGAGTCTCCACTCTGCCTCTTGCGGGCAGAGTTACCGCCATCCATCGTGGGTGTAGAAGACCGTCTCGAGCGGGGGCGCACGCCTCGCTCATATGCTAACGGTCCATACGCGGGAAGACTGGATGGTCAGACTGTCGCGTTAGACTTTGCTGCTCTTCTGAAGGCATCTGGATCTCATGAGCCTCCTGCCTCGCCGCTTCATCAGACCCAGCCTGTTCCAGCTCCCACTTATCAACCATTCCCTCTCAAGGCGTCGCCAGCTCCACCACGGCCTGTTGCGCATGTGGCGCCACCACCGCAGGTAGCTTCGACACAGATGTCTGGAAGACGCGGCATGCACTCCCATGGTACAGATCAGCCACCCGTGAAGAAGCAGAGCAAGTGGTCACCGGAGGAAGATGCCCTTATCATCGAGCTTCGAGGGCGTAATATGAAGTGGGAGGATATCTCAAAGCGTCTGCCTGGCCGGAGTGCCATCAGCTGCCGCCTACACTACCAGAATTACCTCGAAAGACGGAGTGAATGGGATGAAGAGCGCAAGAATAAACTTGCCAGACTCTACGAAAGGTAAGGGGGCGGTATAAGCCATTGGCCTTTTAGGAAACATACTGACAGGACTTCAGGTTCAAACCAGAAATGTGGGCAAAAGTTGCAGAAGAGATGGCGGTGCCCTGGCGAGCAGCAGAGGCCATGCATTGGCAGCTTGGTGAGGCAGATATGGCTAGACGTGCCGGCGTTATCCCTTTCTCTCTAGCTGCAGTCAATGTCGAGGGAAACAACAGTCACAGGAGCTCCCCCTCACGCAGCCACATCCACTCGCAGCCCCAAGTCAGCATGCCTCGCGATCTTGGAGTACCATCACCTCGAATTGTGTACAACAGACCTCCGCCGATGCCTGCCAGCAGCCGAACTATGGTTCCCCGCCGAGAGTCGATTCCCCCGCCGCCTCCTTTGTCCATGGTTCCAGATCCTGCTGAAGCTCAGTATGTACCAGGGCCAGGTTTGGCCCCGATCCAGAACCAGCCACCACCTCGAACAGCTGGTATGCTTCCTGGGGTTGCTGAACTTACCGGAGGAGTCAGCCCCTATAGTGCACCTGCTGCAGTGCCTAACATGGGACCTATACCCGGCGTAGGTCAGGGCCCTCTGTATTCAACACTCGCCAGTTACTCGATGGAATCGGCTGGGTCCAAACGAAGAGCTTCCCCAGATGAATACTCGCACGAGGCGAACCAGCGACGCCGAATCACATAGCCTGTCCATGCCTGAGGCAGCTGTACGATATGGGCGCTTGATGAGTGACCATTGAGTCTTCCAGGACATTTGTTTTGCATCTCGTCTCATAAGGCGACAATGCGGGTTACTGAGTGTGGTAAAGAATGTACGACTTATTATGATGGTGTTAAGAGCATGGAATTGCATAACTACACGGACAGGAACAGAACAACATTTTTTTATTAACTTATGGGCAACCTATTGCCTTCGGGTCTGATTGAAGCATACCGAGGAACACAATAGCATATGGGTTTAACGACGGAACGGGATGGATTGGACGGGGTGGAATGTGGGCATGACTTAATGTAAAGAAAATCTTTGTTGGGGAAACCATTGGTGTGCTTTTTTCATCTCATTTCGGTTCTTTGAATTGTCTTTTTTATTACGTTCATGTACTACAATTTGCATTGGCCAGAGGCATCTGCATGGCAATGGATACTGGTTGTTTGAGGAGCGAGGAAAGGAAGCATCAGAAAGGGTGAGGTCAAGGATGGCCTCAGGAAACCGGAGTTGAAAGAGAGATAGTGTTGTTTTGTTGCACAGCGTTTGCATTTCCCCTATTTAGTATCCCTTTCCCATTGATAGACACATATGGAGATGTGGTAGAGAAGTTATCGGCATAGAAGAAATGTACAGTTAGCGATGTTACTTTAGTTGAGCAATTCCTTGAATATATTACCAGCCTGAAGACGGCCGAGTACTCTTCCATGGTTGGACAAGAGCGAAACATGCAGCGTAAATATCGGCGAAAGATTCCTGTCAAGGTTGGTAATCATACGCATAAGGTGTCCAGAACTTTCTTTTTCTTCGTGACGCCTATAAGATCTTGCCTTGCGCCGCAAGTTGCCGTTGATGAGGTCTCACGACGGTCGACTACATACCACCCACCAGTTATCCTTCTCATAGCCAGTCTCTACAACGATGCCCCCAGCCGCCTTGACATCCTCCTCGAGCTCACCCTCCTTGTACAGGTGGTAGTAGCGCTGGAACGTGCCTCCGGGTTCTTGACCTTTTGGCTTCCGCATCACCCACGACACCAGGCGATCCTGGTCACTGCTCGCGTCCCACCCGCGACGGCTTGACGCCTGCTCGAGAGCCCACACATAGACGAGCACACGGCCGGCTTTGGGAGTAACTAGTGCCAGTAACTCAGCAATGGCGGCTTGTCTTCTCTCGCGTGTCGACATATGGTGCACAACAGCGATGCAGATAACAAAGTCAGCGGCTCCATTGCGATAAGGAAGGGCGAAACCATCGGCGACAGCAACATCTACATCGGATACTCTAGGATCATGCTCGACACCGTCTTCCCGAGGCCGTCTCAGCTCAGTCCGGGCGAGCTGGACGAGAGCTGGACTCCGATCGGAGCCAAGCAGATGGACAGACGGGTTGACACGTAGATACTTGCCGTTGCCGCATCCCACATCGAGACCGAGACTACCAGGCGGTTGAGATAGCAAGAAGCTGGCAACCCGAGGCCAAGGCTTATGGCGGGTGGCCGAGAAGTGCGGTGCGATGGCTTCGTAGACTGCATGAACGTGGGTGGCCTCGTACGTCTCTGGCGCCTCTTCCGCTGCAGATTGTGAGAAGGACTCTGACTCTGTGGGGGCCGATGTCTGGTTGGTTTGTGCCTGAGAGCTGGGTTGCTGGAGTGGCCTGTCCTCTTGATCTCCAGCCGGCGTGGCCGATGAAGCACTTGCCATGATGAAGACGATGAAAGGTTCCGTGCAGGTTCTCTACGGGCGCCTTGTGGAGTATAATCTTCCTTGTCTCTCGGATGTATCTGAGATGACCTAGAGAGCGAGGGAGGGGGTGTGAAGTTGTTGCGTCTGAGCGTTGAGAGATGAGGTTATGATTGAGTTGGTTGGTTATGTTTCTTGTGATGCTAACTAATTTCTTCAATATCCGAGTAGTGAGTGGATGCCCTGGTCTGGGTCGTGTTGGGCTGGGCTCAACTGGGGTAATTAGTGGGTGTGGTCAGCGATTATCTACCTCAGGTACTGCACAGTAGTGTTTAGTGGAGTCAATGGATGTTTTGGGGCGGCTCCGTCCTCGTCTTGTGGCTTGAGGGAACATGTTCACCCCATTACTACCTACTTTATACAACGGTCGTCAGTCATGAATAATGGCTCATACGAATAAATGTCTCTGATGATTCAAGTAACTCTAGGTACCTGGCTTATTGATTTGCTAGGTTAGCAGTGAGACCAAACCAACCATTGCCCCGTGCGAGTATGGTATATTGGTGGCTGAGTGCCAAGTTGATGATTCTGACACTATAAAATACAATGCAGTCAGTTGGCTCAGTCAAGGATTGAAGTATTGTGATCAGGATTAAATTACATATGAAGTAAAATAAAAAAAAAACCTCTCTTATATCCCCTGTTAAATTTTGAGGCCCCTTGTCACGAACACCTCGGATCCGCCTCCAGGCCTCAAAGTCAAAGCTTCTTTTCAGGGTAAAGATACCTTGTTCCAACGGTGTCTTTATATCGCGGACCCCACAATCTCATCTCTCTCACATCACATATATCACTCGTCTTCACATCTCATCACCCCATTCACACGACGCGAATCCCCCGCCACTCGGTCATTGGGAACCAACAAGTCCGTGCCTTGCTTATGGAACACATTTCGGGCATCTTCTGCACCCCTCCGGTGTCAAGTTGGGCATACACGGCTGGGATAATCTTCGACGATTGATAATAAGCCGTTCACGCCAGGGGTTGTGAGCTGTGGGCATGGGTGCTCCCGCTCGCTTCAAAGGTACGCTGCACGTCATCATAAGCTGAGACTCGAGTCTCGAACTTGTGCTTCAGCAGAGAAGCGTGTAAATTGGTGTCTTGGCTTGGATGATCATCCTTGGATTTTCACCAGGGGCCAATGCAACATGGAGTGGAATAAATCCGCCAGGCGCCAATTGTCCTCTCTGGCTTTATTCCTTGTCATCCGGTCAAGGCAGACTCGTCAGATGTTGGTGATTGAATGGCCTTCCCCTGTCATGTCCCTTTTGACACGAACCGTTAATCTCAAGCACCCGCCTGTAGCGCCAGGATCGCTGATCTCTGACGATGCATGTAGTATGCATCTTATGCAAGTGGTGAGAGTTCACATGTCACTCGACGCATTGATGCAGGTGCGTGGTACAGTTCAATGCTGTGATTATCCCTGCATATCCTCGAACTTTTATTTCATCATAAATTCTAGTATTGTGCCCAACATTACACGTCATATCTTCATTTTTTGCCAGTATTGAGAGGACTGTTGGGGTCGAAGACATCAGTGGTGATGAGATCGGGATAGGACACGCCGCCCTGCTTGAGTGCGTTGTCCATGACCTCCATGATGACTATACTCTCTGACCAAGGCATTGAAGCACTCTCCTTTTTGCCATCCCGCAGGCAACGTGCACACTCATCCGCCTCCCAGAACATACCGTGGCCCCAGTTGTTGCGCTTAGGATCTGTAGGAATTGGGCAATTCACTACTTCCACCTTGCCATTGGCGTCCGACTTGATCACCTTGTACTCGGTTGGCCGGAACGCAGGACCAGTAACCTGTATTTCCCCCTTAGAGCCCTGGATACGGATCGCGGGGCCACCAGTGTAGAGACCATCGACGTCGGTGGCGATGCGCAGTGAGGTAGTCGCAATACCGACAGAGTTGTGCTTAGGAAACTGACAGATGATACTCGTGGACTCGTCGGCACCTGTGCGATACTTGTTGATGGAGGCTACAACCTTTGGAGCCTCCTTTTCGGTTTCGGGCTGAACATGATAGAGAGATTGGAAGACCCAGGTCAAGGAGTAGATGCCGAGATCGAGTAAAGCACCGCCTGCAAGATCAGGATTGACCATGCGGTTGGAATCGGGAAAGTCAAGATCTTGGGTATCAGTATTCTTGTTGAATGAGAGGTCGGCTATAGGAGGGTCAGCTTTATCGTATAACCTCGACAGGCATTCTTCTCACCGAATGTACGATAAACAGTACCAATGGCACCAGACTGGATCAACTCTCGAATCTTGATACTGAGAGGGAAGTATCGTGTCCAGACAGCCTCCATAAAGAAGAGGTTCTTGGACTTGGCGACCTCATACAGCTTCTTGGTCTGTGCAGCAGTAACGGTGAGTGCCTTTTCACAGAGAACATTCTTGCCAGCCTCGAGGGCCAGCATAGCATTCTGGAAGTGGTGACTGTGAGGTGTAGCAACATAGATGATGTCAACGTTTGGGTCGGCGACTAGCTCAGCGTAGGAGCCGTAGACAGCAGCGGATGAGGGGCCATCAATCTTCTTGATAAAGTCGCGCGCGCGGTCGACGGAGCTCGATGAAGCAACGGCGACAATCTCATGCTGTACATCGTTGACGTCGCGAGCGGCAGGATCTGTAAGGATATCCTTAGTGAAGCCTATGATGGGAGTTTAGTGTTTTGTTCATCGTGTTACAGAGCTGCTCACACTCAGCGATGCCACCGGTAGCCAAGATGCCCCATTTAGCAGTGTAGGGAGCCATAATTACAGCTGATAAGTGATGAAGCTGATATGCCACGTAAAGGACCAAGATGTTGGGGAAAAAAGGAGGTTAATAAGTGTTCTCGGAGTCAACAATTCAAGTGACGTTACACATCTTGATGAGCTCCGACCCCTCAGAACGATGGCGGGGCAATTGCAAGATCCAATCCAATCCAATTATATCCAAGGCGGTTTGTGGAGAGATGCATTCACTTGGCACATCCGGAGATACGGCCCGTTGTCCAACACTAGACAGGCTTTAGGAAAACCTCTAAGCAATAGGTATCTTGTAAGATCGCCGATCAATATAGCACGGCTCATTTAAATAGCATGACGTATTGGTCGTGAACATTGGCACTTAATCCTGTCCATTAATTGTGATTCCTCGACCTCGAGTCGATGTGGGGGTTAAAGACGTAACTAAATTATGAACTGACATACATGATCTAGTTATATCCGCTTAATTTCCATATCAATATATTCTCAACATTCGTCGAATACGAATCTACTGTATATTTTCTCTAACTGTGTCTGAATAACTCAGTGTCGTCTTACGGTCAACTTGAAGTTTATCGGTTTTATAAAGTTATCGGCTTCGTTAGACGGCCGCGGCCCTAGACCTCTCAACCAAAAACTGCATGACTATACGCGGGGAACCCTCGCGGTTTGTAGTCAATGATTGGCTGCCTAGTAATGTGTTGGTCGTTACATTGACGCCATAGGCCATGTACAGGTGGTTTGAGGCTCAACATGGCGTAATTAACCAAAATCGACAGCTTGACCTATCTCCAAACTCCACCTCTTCACGTTTCAAACAGCCCTCTAGCGCTGTCTCTCCCAGGCCCTGTGTTCTGCCAACACCAACAAACCAGCTGAGTAGTCATAGAGTCAACTCCGTCTTATTTTATCTTTTCAGTGGTATCTTTTAACATGGCAGCCAAACTAGCCAAAGACCTCACCCTCAAGGGCTCATCCACTGCCATGCCAAAGCTGGTCTATGGCACAGCGTGGAAAAAGGACAGATCAGCAGATCTTGTTTATTTAGCTCTCAAGCACGGCTTTCGTGGAGTCGACACGGCAGGACAACCTAAGCATTATAATGAGAAGGGCGTTGGGGAGGGTGTGCAAAAAGCTATTAGGGAGGGCCTTGTTAAACGTGAAGGACTCTTTGTAGGCTCCGTCACCATATACATCACCAAATTAGGCACTGACCTGTCCTCAGCTTCAAACAAAGTTCTCTCCTCCAGGGAACCAGGATGAAAATGCACCTTATGATTTTGATGCACCGCTTGTGGATAAGATCCATCAATCTATTCAGTCATCGTTGACTTACTTCACCATCGAAGGCGAAGAACCTTACTTTGACAGCGTGCTTTTGCATAGCCCCCTGCGAACTCTCGAGGAAACTATCACTGCGTGGAAGACGCTGGAGACATACGTGCCTCACAAGATCCGCAACCTAGGCATCTCTAACACAACACTTCCAATCCTTGAAGCACTCAACGATGCTGTCACTGTTAAACCAAGTGTTGTCCAGAACCGCTTCTACCCCGATAACAACTTTGAGGTAGATCTCAGATCCTACTGTCGAGAGCAAGGTATTGCTTTCCAGTCGTTTTGGACTTTCAGCGCCAACCCTAGGCTCGCTGCTACCAAGCCAGTTAAGATGGTTGCAGAGAAGGCTGGGATTCCTGAGGTAGCTGCGTACTATTCTCTGGTCTTGGGGCTCGAAGGCGTAACGGTTCTGGACGGGACAACGACCGAAAATCATATGAAGGATGATCTTGAAGGTATCGAGAAAGTTGCAAATTGGGCGGAGACGGACGGGATAACTGAATGGAATTTCGCCTTGAAACAGTTTAAGCAGAGTATCGGGGAAGTCTGAGGGCCTCTCTGAATACGTCTGGATCTTCAGTGGTGCTCAGGCGGTTGGTACCTACCTGCTGTTGGCGTTAGGGAAGTAGAGGCAGATCTGCAGTTTCTGCCAGTGATAGAAAATGGAAGCCGTCAACTTTACCTTTGGCACCAAACGCATTCTGATTCATTCACGTAAAGTCTACGTAAATTCTTGACCTTTACTATCACATCACTTCTCTTACTATCAATAACATAAACCTTTTTCCCCTCAACTTTCTCAAAATCAAGAGAGCATTTACATTCATCACAACTTGCCTTTCGCCGCCTCTTATGATCGCGTCAGCATTCACCGGTCGCAGCGAACATTTGACCCATCCAAGAGAACGTTGCGCCTGTGTTCCCAAACACAGCACTATATCATGAGTATTCGTCGAGACGCCGTCCAACGAGACTTCGGTCTCCGACCAGGTGAGTCTGATGCTTTTTGATGCTGCGCCTCTTGATTCCTTCCCCTAACTCTTACTTTTAGGTTCACGGGCTGTGCCTAGACCTCAGTTGTCCATCGAACCCGCCGAAGATGTTGTGACATCGCCCACCGAGATGAAATTTCCTTCTGATTTGTCTGATGATGCCCGAGAGCCGTTTGTGCAAGAGGGCACCCCCCTCACCTCAGTTAGGGACACTTGCGATGACGAGCGTGAATCAACTATCTCTCCAACAATCAATACCAAGGGTCTGCTCCCAATCCCGAAAACTCGATCCCCAGAAAGACATAGCAGTGACGATTCGCAGAGTGGCAAGGAAAGCCCTGTAAGCTCAGACACCCCTTCCCTGCCCGACCATTTCCCGCCTTGTCCTAGAGAGCGACCTACACGTCAAGAGATCGCCCTCTGGCGTGAAGGATGTATGGCTGTTCAACGTGGGGATGGGAGCGTTGATGGCTTCGACGTCGCGGACTGGCTGATGACAAGAAAGGGGGGAGTTCTCAACCCCTGGCCTGCGCTAGACGAAGGGCGGATGGCCGTCGAGAGTATGGGGCGGGAGATTATTGACCTCGATGCGATTCACCGCCAACAGGAGGAGGAAGCAGAAGTTGCCAGGCTCAAAGAAGAGCGTCGACAGAGAAACAAGCGACGATATCGACCTCGTGGTCAGATTGAGAAAGAAAAGGCCGAACGACGAGCTGCCCAAGAAGCCCAACGGGCACAAGATTTAGCTCAGAAGACATCCATTGCTTCTGATTCGGAACAGGGGCAAGATATGTCCGACACTGACGGGCCTCCAGCAAAAAAGGCTAGAGTTGACAATGAATCCTAGACATGGCCACGAAGAAACGAAGGCAGCTACCTAGGCACACGGATTTGCATTTACACTCACAAAAGGTGATCTCGGCGTTAGGGCCTTTCAAAACTAATAGCGACTAGGGGCCTGAATGTGTTCTAAACCAGTTGCTTTCGTGTCTGCTATGGAATTTTGGAGCAATACAGGTATTTTTATATTATGTCTTTGCGATGACGGATGATCACATGCTGTCCGCACCTGTAATACACTTTATTTGACATCCTTTTGCGTTCTATTCTTTTGTTTTCTATTGGTCAGACTTTCCAATATCCTTTGCAAAAGTGTTCGCCACAATAAAGGGAAAACATGCTGTTGCCTCCATGTATACCTTGTGACTGGTCAGTGGCTAGCAGGAGTAGAAGAGACTTGTTGACTTACTTTCACATTATCAGCTCCAATTTTGATTTTGCCCCATGATACAGCCTCATCTGGTCTAGCACCCGCATCACTACCATCAAATTCTTGTGCTGTGTTGATGTAAACCGCCGACTCGGCACCATTGCGCATCAAGCATGCATTGGCAATGTGGTGCTTGATGATACCACCACCCAGAATGATCATACCGGCCCGCTTGGCTCGGACAGCAATGGTGTTGATGCGTCGGATATCTTCAACCAGATCGATCTTCAGTTGCAGGGGCGCGGTTTTATAAGTATGGAAATAGAGCATGTCTCCGAGGCTTCCGTCAGTGATGGCAGGGCAGAACACTGGGACATTGTTCTTGTATGCCCAGTAATAGACGGATCGCTCATCATTGATCTCCTTACCTAGACGATGAATTACCTTTGATGGCGTCCAGTTGATCTCTTCCTCAGTGCCTTTACTAGCCTCCTGCTCCTCAAGCATCTTATCGAGAATGGGGACGACCCAGTCTTCGAAGGCGCAGTAGTTCGCATTAGGAACAACGAGGTTTCCAATGCGGTTGAGACCCTTGCGGCGGAGTTCGGCTCCAGGGGTACTGAAGGAACCGACATATGTGTCACCAAGGCACTTGATAAAATCCTCTTCGATGCCACCGGCTGTGGTGACGATACATGACACGTGGTTATGCTCGACAAGCCAACGGAGGACACCACGAAGGCCTGATGAGATGAGGTTGGAAGTATATCCCAAGAAAATTGTGGTCTTGTCCCCCGTCTCTGGGTCTTTCCATGCACGCTGTCATACGTTAGCCAAGGTGGTGTACCTTTCTCATTGAAACTCTAGTATAGGGTTTCTGAATTGAAACGCACCATATCATTGATGATCCTCACAGCCTCACACATAGAAGACGCCTGGAAGCCCATGTGACGCATGCCCTCGAAGAGATTCTCCGCCGTGATAGGGCCTTTGAACTTGTTGAAGTCCAACTCCTCGACCTTCTGAGCGTCAGCAGGCATCTCCTCTGACATGACCAGGACGGCCTCTGTGGCCGCCGAGGGCGGAGCATCGGAGTTGGAAGTCATCGGAGTTGATTTCGCGCCCAAGACGTTGGTGTAAGTGGTGAGGCGTAGGTTTCGAGTCGTAAGTGTGTAGGTAAAATGGTGTGGACAGTGCAGAATTTAATGGCCAATCGAAAACTCAGCAAATGTTGAGCACAACGCCAGGAAGAGTAAAAGAATGGAACGAGTTTCCCCAATGAAGATGTATTATCAGATTTGTTTTTCTCATTAAAGATTCTTACGTATTCTATGACTCGATAATAACGTTTTGACTCTGACCTTATCTTCCTGATTTCCATCTTCCGTGAGAAAATCACGGCTCCGGGCTCCACATTGAAAAAAGACGGCGGGGTCCATCGGGGCTTCAAAAAGTGGGCGTGCATGTATCCCTCCGACTGGCAGATCTATTTGTGGTCTAGCGTCTTACGGCAATTCTGAGTCAAGGCCCCTGGACTGAATTCGCTGAGGAGCCCTTCCATCCACCACTAAGCGCCACGCGACAGTGTGTCCATTCCAATTTGCAGGATGGGGTCGCTTAAGCTTAGGCCCTTAGGATCCAAATGCACGCCTGAGGCTTGACTTCGATCCTCAAACCTTCAACCTGCATCCAACCATACCCTCTATCGCAAAAGGTACTGTCGCCTTTGCATATCGACCCTCATTTCAACGCGATTCACTTGTCTCGGACACGGTGCTCGCATATAATAACGCTAATAAGTTCTACGTCTGTTTTGACTTTCTTATTTGATACCCCATTCATTCGACGGGTTAAGGGTGTTTTTTGGTAACCGAGACGCGACGTCAGCGATCTGGATACGACTCGGCGACACAAGGCCTGCGAAAGTTTTGTAAACCTCGACGAGTCGATTTCTTCAGTGTTAAACTTACGGGGCTTTACGTGGCGCACGTTATTCGGAGCCATAATTTTGACTTCTGCATAACTGGGTGTATGGGCTGCCTATAAATCACCACTTCCTTGGGGCATCCTGTGGCCTTTAAGAAATGTACGAACAATCGCCCAATCCCACAATCCCACAATCTTCCATTCTAGTCATGCGGCGAAGGAGAGATTCTAAATATCACCGCACGAATCGGTCCCTACGCCGTTCGCCCCTTGCTGGATCGTCTTCATGCTGACTTAATCCATCTAGGGCCTCAAGATACTCACGCTATGAACGGTCCAGATCACCCCGTGACCGCTCGCCTGACCGATTTGACCGAACTCCGCAGTACAATGATGGAGATAGACGCCGACCGTCTGACGCCCGAGCAGGTAATGGCGGCTTTCAGCCAGGACGGGACTTTGGTGACCCATTACGACGCGAACCACCTCGCGGACCGAAAGCCTTGATCGATGCGCCCAGTGGCCCTCGCGGCGGAGGATTTGGAGGAGAGTTCCGTGGTGGCCGTGGACGAGGGCGCGGTCGTGGATGGTCTTCGAGAGATGACAGTCGAGATCGAGGTCGAGATAGGGACATCGACTTCCGTGACCGGTACCATGATGATCGAAGCCGTGAGCGCGACCGGGATCGCGAGCGCGATAGAGACTGGCGTGAGCCAAGAGATTTCAGATCACGACGCTCACCTATCGGCCGTGCAAGGTCACCAACAAGAGATTTCCGAGACCGCGATGGCCCTTTGGGAGTAGATGCCGATAGATCTCGACGCGGTTCAAGAGACGGAGGTCCTCCCTCAGCTGGATCATCTTCCTCCGATCCCCAGTTCGGCATGGCACCCTACCCTCGCGGCGGGGGCTTCCACCGAGGACGAGGTCGTGGGAGAGGTGACTGGTCTTCGGAGCGAGGCCGCGGCAGAGGGCCTTATATGGATGATAGAGGTGATCGCTACCCACGCAGTCGGTCTCAGGAGGGCCGATGGGCAAGAGACCGCGATGAAAGGGACCGGATGGACCGGATGGATCGCTATGCTGACCCAGATACCCGACGAGACATTCGAGACGATCGCGACCCCCGCGACCGCGAACTGTTCCGAAACAAATTAGAGGCTCGTGCTAATGCCGGACACGACTCGGGGCTTTCCAGCAAAGAGGTATCGCCACCTCCTGCCGCACCTTCTGCATCTGCTTTCGGACCCGTTCCTAATCGAGGACTGAGTATTGGAGAGGGTTATGTTTCAGCCAGCGCTGCAACAAAAATCCCCCCGACAGCCCCCCGCGCTTTCAATGATCGGCCCCCGTCAGCCGGACACGACCCAACAATGCCGTCTGTCGGTCTCGGGAAAGGCATGATGCATGATGGCCCCTCGATTCCAGTTGGCCCGAGAGCCCAGCAGCCGCCGCCACCAAGGCCTTCTAGCAAGCAGTGGATCAATCCCAATCTAAAGAAGGGGCCTGACTCTCCCAAGTTGATGAGGTCACCAAGCTTTGTGCAACAACGACCGCCTTTACGACGCGGCAGCTCCCAGTATGATCATTATCACGACGATGAAAGGCGACCACGTAGTAGCGATGCGAAGTCGGAACCGCATTACGATAATCGTGCGCGAACTAATTATAGCGCGGAACCTGGAGAAATCACCGTCAAGTCCGAACGGGAGTCTCAATCTGCAAGGGCATCGATGGATAGAGACACACGACCTACTAATGCTTCCAGGCGGGATTCTTACCGATCCGGCCCTTCACCTACCATGGAGAACATGCCCAGATTTGGCCAGGAGTCAGAAATTCGCGTAAGGGACCCAAGAGAAGCTCCGAAGGAAGTGCCTCGAAGAAAGCGCTCGCAACCAATAATCAGAGCGGTCAGGTTCGAAGTTCCCCCGAAACCAGCACCTGTGGAACAGAACTCCGAATCTGACGACGATGATGATATGGCCGACTATTTCGATATGGAGATTGGGAAGACTGAGGCTGAATTAAGCAAACTGGAAAAACCAAAGTTACCAACTCAAGTCATGGCCCGGTTTGCAGCTCTGTCTCACGGCTCAATGGTCAAGATAATCGGGGAAGGGGAGGGACTACTGAAAATGGTGAAAAAGCTACCAGGGGCAGTGAATAAGCGCGTCATTGAAAAGATACATGACCCGCCACCTATCGAGCAGGCAAAGGAAGATGTGGAAATGGCCGACGCGGTTGACAGCATGGACAAAATTGATTCCGAACCACCAAAACAACCGCATCAGGAAGTACAGGTCGAGCTGGATCGTGAGCTTGAGTCTATTCAAGTCAAGGGTTCTGAGGAGCCTGTTGAAGCTGCCCCCGCTCCAGAATCCGCGGCACAAGTTGGTCAGGAGACTACCGAAAGACCCATCGAACATGCTGCGAAGGCAGCTGGCGAGAAGATTGATGACAGTCCCCACGAAGAGGCTGCACCGAGTCTTGACAAGACGCCCGATCAAAGTCATATCGAGAAATCTGACGAACAACGTATCGAGAACCCCGTCGAGGAGTCTCTCGGAAAGCCTACTGATGAAGCAGAAGAGAACCATACAGAGAAACCTGTGCAAAAGGCTGAGAACGAGGATACCGAGATGTCCGTTGCACCCGAACTTGAACCAAAGTTAGTGGCTATGGATATCGACGAGCCTCTTACTGAGACTGATCGAGTCGCACCCGATAGTCCGCCGCCTCCTTCCAACAATAAAGCCATGGATGTGCCTTCCATAGCAAGTGAGACTGCGCCTATAGAGTCGCTTGAACCTCAGAAGACGGAACGAACACTTCTGGGGGCGTCCGAGGATTCTCGCAAGGAGAAATCTGACAAGGACAAGCCAACTGACATAACTGCAGAGGTGAATGGTGTGCAGCCTACACAAAAGCTGGTGGAAAATCCAACCGGAGCCCTTCCTGAGCCTGCTCCGGCAAACCCAAATGATGCTGTTTCGGAGAAACCTGCAGAACCTTTTACTGAGCCCCGCTCCGAGAATCTAACAGGAAATGCTGAAGCTCTTGGACATAGACAGGTCGCAATTGAAGGTGCTCCTGTTTCTGTGGTGTGCCCGAATGTGGTTTTGCAAACGACGGAAACGGCATCAAAGCCACCTAGTACACCGTCACAGGTCGACGACGACGAGACTGAGTCTGAAGACGATTCTTTTATGAACCTCGATACCGTTCGACAGTACATGACCACGCCTCCAATCGATAGTCTACCAGACTACAGCTGCATGGCTTGGGATAAGGATAGTGCTTTCTTAAAGACCCTCGACTCCAGCATTGCATTGGACGAGTTCGTGGTCGAACACCTCGACAAGATGCATTTGGAGAAGTCAGCTGAACAGGACCACGACAGGAGGATTTATAAGGACAACTACGAACGGTACCTAGATTTCACCATGTCGAATGATCCAGCGGCTGTGAAGAGTCGTGGAAAGTTTTCAGTGTCGACAGGCATTGAAATTACAGGTACCGTAACGCCTGAGCCAAAGCATGAAGGAAGTGGTCGTGGACGCCGTTTCGCAACCGAAAGAGACTTGGAACGAGTTTTGCAAGCATCAATGCGCGAGGACGAGGAGAGGAAAGAGCGCGAACTTAGAATGCAGCAGGAGAAGTATCGCACTGATAAGGAAGCCATCATTCCGAACATGATTTGGAACCAGGAAGAGAAGGACAACACCAAATACCTCGATAAGAGTGGATTCACGCCTGTTGATCGGTTGGTAACAGCATGGCGGGTTTTGCCTCCAGTTAATAACTTCACTGAGGAAGAAGCCGGCTTGTTTGAGAAGAGATACTTGGAAGCACCTAAGCAATGGGGTCGGGTTGCTGAAGCGATTCCGCATCGTGATTTCGGTTCTTGCATTCAGTATTACTACATGAACAAGAAGGACCTTAATCTGAAGGAGAAACTCAAGAAGCAGCCTAAGAGGCGCAGAAAGGGCAAAGCGAAGCAACGATCTAGTGCATTGGTGTCGGAACTTGGCAACGGAGACGGAGAAACCGAAGAGAACCACGACACAGGAGAAAATGGCGAGAGGCGACGACCACGACGAGCGGCCGCGCCTACATGGGGTTTCGAACAGCCCCCAGTTGACACAGAGAACTCGACACCTAATGCGACACCCGGTAG